ATAAGGAGTTTGTTGTTACCAAACTAAGTGAAAGGCAATCTGTAAAGGTTTGATGGTTAAGAAGAACATGAAAAATAGGAAGTTGAAGAAAATGGAAGAGTTAAAGTTTGAAGTATTATCTAAATAATTACACTGACAATCTGAGAGATAGGCATATGTCTACTTTCTTGACATTAAACACAAAGATTTTTTTAAAAAGTTATTGAGCACAATTGAGGCCTAGGCAGTAAATTGAGGACTGATATGTTGAATTAGAGTCAACTCATTCTAAAAGGGCATTAGGAAGAGGGTATGGAACAGTGAGGGCAGGAATAAACAAATGGAGTATTTTTTCCCCAGTAACCTTGAGGACAGGGATCATGTCTGTATAGTTCTTTCTAGTTTGCTCAATGTCTCTTAGTGAATGTTAAGATAGTATGTTTAAAAAAAAAAAAAAAAGATAGTATGTTTTAAATTAAAGTATTAAGTAATATTTTAATCAGACAAAAATTAAGAAAAATCACATCTTATATCCCTTTTTATTAGAATAATGCTTTGATAATTGTATCTACAAAGCAATCATTTTGTTAGCCTCAAATTATTGTCAGGGTAGACAGAATTTTTAATATATCTGATTTAGATTACATAACCAGTATTTAAAACAGTGCAAATAGACTATAATGGATGTTTAGATATAAGTAACAAAAATGATAATGAACATTCCTCTTCCAGGCTTTACATATTTTTATTTACAGTTTGCTTCAATTTAGGGAGAAGAACTTCTACAGAAGTATCTCAGAGGGTCAACTTAGAGAGGAAGGACTTCCACTGAAATGTTCATGTACATTTTTTGGAAATAATAGGCATGATACTAATGTCCTTGGAAAAAAGGTTTTAATATCAACATACTCAGAATACAATTTCTGTGTGAATACAATATATAATTTTAAAATATAAATTATAAAATCATTAATTTTAGAAAGTTTCCAAGCTATCTAAATACCAAAAGAAACCCATATTCTGGCATAAAATTGAACCATTTTCTATATATTATACCAAAATTAAAGTTTACCCGTATTCTAACATTGAGAAATGAAATATCAACATTAAAAAGTCTACCTAGAAAAGATCAATGATGACTTCATAGACTACTTTTACAATATATATATATAAAATATTTTATATTAGTTTTTTTGGACATGACTTTTTCTTTTAATAACATGATTTACATATTTAACAGAGGGTTATAATGTGGTGGGTGAATGGAAGACTTGAAGGCTGAAGACCAATGTTCAATCTAGAACCTCCTACATTACTGACATTCTATCCCTTGTGCCAGTTGGCATACTGTAAATGTCTGAATGAATAAATAAGTTACATCAACACAGGTTTCTTCAGCTGTAAGTTGGAGTGATACCACCTATAATACAGAATATTTGTAAAGAACAACCAAGAGAACCAGTGGGTGCCATAGTGCTTTGTTAACTTTAAGACTCTGAGCTAAAATATTTTTAAAGATCTGAGTTAGTAGGGTTTGTTATTTTTTAAAAGCCTCAAATAAACTCCTTGGCTTTGATGTAGTATTTTATTTAGTTATATTTCCTGTTAACAAAGATACCATTAACAACAAATTTGTTCAGTGTTCATTTTAAAGGGAAAAATATCTTACAACTCATTAAAAAAACACTATGTAATTCAGGTCAACGTTAGTGTACTTTTACTTCCTTTGGTTAAGTCATAAGAAATCTCTGTTTCAAAAGAAAAGTATCCTATATAATAAAGAACTAATATGCTAATTAGACTGAACAGCCAGACGACCTTCCAGACGTCCTTCCAGATGACCTTCTGGACGAAGCTGGGGTGGTGAGGGCCGGCCAGGGCTACGCAGGCCATCCAAGGCAGCTGGGGCTGCGAGGGCCGAGCCCCTTGCACGAATTTCGTGCATCGGGCCTCTAGTTTCATAAGAAGGTCTGAAGTTTATATTTTCATTAAATTCCAATTCAACACAATTTACCAAAGTACTTCACACATATGTCCTTTATAGCATTTATCATATTGTATAATATTTTTTTTTCTCTCAGGAGACTGAGCAACTTAAGGGTAAAAAGTTGAGTCAGATTCATCTAATTTTTTTAAAGCATTTTACTTATTTTAAAATGTTTTTATTGATTTGTTTTTGGAGGGAGGAGAGGGAGAGAGAGACGCATCGATGGGACGGACTGACTGATTCCTGCACACCACCACTGGGGATCAAGCCTGCAAACTGGGCATGTGCCCTGGCTGGGAATCAAATTAGTGACTTTGTGGTGCAAGGAAGGACACTCAGCCAGCCGAGCCACACTGGACAGGCTCGCTTCATCTTTATATCGAGTTACTATAGCCTTTGGCTGGTTCTTTTTTTTAAAATATATTTTTATTTTTATTGATTTCAGAGAGGAAGGAAGAGGGAGAGGTAGAAACATCAATGATGAGAGAATAATTGATCAGATGCCTCCTGCACGCCCCACAGTGGGGATCAAAACCACAACCCGGGCATGTGCCTTGACCGGAAATCGAACCATGACCTCCTGGTTCATAGATTGAGGTTCAACTTCTGAGCCATACCTGCCAGGCTTGGCTGGTTCTTTGTAGAGGTTAGTGCCCAAGTATACATAGAATGAATGAACAGAGGATATGTGTTGTGTCCAGCAGAGGAAAAAGAGCTAGTATAATTCTGATTAGTTTATAATATATGGTCAAAGTGATAAGTTTATCATTAAACTAAAAACAGAATTTTAAGTTTCTTTTTAGATTTTATTCTATGAATAAGGCTATTTTTAAGGTAGACAGATGTGTGTTAATGAAAGAATCTGATGCAGAGAGTTTGGAACATGTTATCAGGACAGTAACATGAAAATTACATAGGGAAAACACCAAAAATTTTTCACTTTAAAATTACTCAGTGGTAGTTTATTTAGTGGTCTCAAATAATAATGGAGATTGCTGAAAGGTTGTTGTATTTCATAATGGTCTATTTTTGTGATTTTTAAAATGTTATATTAAGATAGCAAGTTAGTGTACATTAGTGTTTGTATTGGGGAGAGGTGGTGAACTATATAAGAATCTGTATTTGGAAAGCATAGTTTATGTTTAAATGATTATCTAACTTACTTTGAGGTATAAAGTAGATATGGTCAATAAGTGTTTGCTTATGATTATTGACTAGGTCAGGGGTCCTCAAACTTTTTAAACAGGGGGCCAGTTCACTGTCCCTCAGACCGCTGGATGGCTGGACTATAGTTTAAAAAAAACTATGAACAAATTCCTATGCACACTGCACATCTTATTTTGAAGTAAAAAAACAAAACAGGAACAAATACAATATTTGTATTTGCATGTGGCCCGCGGGCTGTAGTTTGAGGACCCCTGGACTAGGTATTGGTAAAAAGATAATTTGAAGCCATATTAGAAAAAACCAACAAAATGGAGCTAAATCTAATATTCATGATAAAATGACTAACAAGGTTTACAATACGGGGTGGAGCAAAAGTAGGTTTATAGTTGTTCATATGGAAAATAATACAATAAATAAGAACAAACTCTGCTTCATGTACTCACAACTGTGAACCTACTTTTGCCCCACCCTGTGTACACAAAAGGATTTTCATAAATATTTGTTGTAAGTGCCTTACAATTAAAACAGACTTTCCTACCCTTGCCTTTGTGAAATCTAGTTGCTTGGGAGGCATTCCTTATTAAAAGAGGGTGTCAATAATATAAAAAGACTGCTGCTAGGATCCAAGCAAAACAGCAGTCTAAGCTCTGGCCGGGTAGCTCAGTTGGTTCGAGTGTCGTCCCGATACACCAAGGTTGCGGGTTCAATCCCTGGTCAGAGCACATATAAGAATCAACCAATGAATGCATAAGTAAGTGAAACAACAAATCGATGGCTCTCTCTCTCTCACACCCATCAATAAAATAAAAAGAACAACAACCCAGCAATCTAAACAGTTGGGGGGCGGGGGAAGTGTTTGTTTTTTGTGTTTTTTTTTTAAATCATCAAGTAGCATTTACTTTATAGGAAAGATTTATAGCAATTTACGATTAGGTGTATGTTACTTTTATATGGTGGTGTCAGAAAGCTTGAATCAGGATTAAATAACTTCATGATACATCATGATACATTAGTAAATTTTTGCTGGATTTGATCAAAACTATTTGAAGGAAAGTGTTCTTATTAAACATTTATCTGGTGAAGTAAGGCAAACTCTTTAATTGTTCAAGTGGCGACTATAAGAATAGTTCTGATATTCTATTTTGTAAAATAATTAGCACTTGCATAGCTTTATTCACAGACACGTGTTTTTGTAGAGAAGTACATTTTATTTCCCTTATGCAGTATGGTTGTTCTATTCTACCCTTACTAAGAAAGGAAATAAAAAGCAAGCTGATGTGTAAGAAAAACAGATTCCATTTTAAGTTATAAGTTGTAAAGATATAATATTGTAAGTACTGTTTTATGATTAAATTCTACTGTAAGTTTATGGGGGGAAGGGAAAGCTTAAAAGTTTTGGTATCAACATACATGAAGGCAGAGGGAGTTTTCTAACAGGGAACTGGTAGCATATTTGCTTACTAATGCATCAATTTTGAAATTAAAAAAAAATTTATTTTTTTAGTAAAAGAGTAGTATACAGTTATCTTTTTGTTAAAGGTAAAAGTTAGATCCTGCTCTCTGCATTTTTTCACAACATATTTTCTTAGAAGGTTAATATAACCAGCTACCAGTTTTTACTAGTCTGAGGTACTTGAGTCCTTACTAGCTTGAATGACTCAGGGTACTTCATATTTAAAATATTTTCAAAATATTTTACAATCCATTTTAAAAGATAATATTCTTATGAGGGAGATTATGATTAGCTCACGTTTACTGTTAAAAAGATATAGAAAGTTTAAATAAAAGAACTTGCCCTGCACCTTAGGCTTTTTTTCTGTAAAGTTTCCAAATCACAGTGTCAGTAATAATTTAATACAAACCCCAGCAGTTTTAAAGTCATATTTAATATTGGTTAACTCCTACTTACCTTACTTAGAATGTAATGTCTCAACTTTGGTACACAAAAACAATTTTTTCTAATATAAATTAAACACATTACTTGTAATAGACTGTTCTTCAAAAGTTGTTTAAAAAGGCAAAAACACATCTTGCAAAACTTCCTAGCAAATTTTTAATGTATGCAATTCGCATGTAAGGCACTTCCATGCTTTTTCAAATAAGTTTCATAAAGTTTTCTATTTTTGTAATCAAGTCTTCATAAGTTATACAGTAAGAACGTTACTTCAAGTAAAACTTTATTAAATACCCAATTTTGGCATTATTTCCTTAAATATCTTTACCTTTGAATAGAATAAATGATGGGCATCAAGATCGATGCAAGCTAATCTTTTTTTTTTCTTTTTGTGTGCAGGCTAATCTTAAATAAAAGCACTCTTGATCTGGTTTATATTTAGAGAATTGGTAATGTTTTATCTTGTTGGTCTTGTTCAAGAATCTTGAAATCCTCCAAAGGAAGACTGCTTAAGGCAGTTGGTAAAATGTGTTCAGATGTGCCTTTAGGTAATATGTTATTTGCTTCTAGATTCTTCACCAAGCAAGTGGCTTTGATCCATCTTCGAGTTGCTCTGCGTTCTTTTTGTAGGCAAGTTTTCATTTTCCTTCTTAAACTTGCTATTTCTTTTTCCAGTTTAATTATCCTCTTTTTTGCCTCCATAGGATTCCTAAAGGCATAACTGTGTTCAAGTAGCACTTGTTGACTATTAATGTTTGATTTTAAATTAGAAGGTCCGGTTGGAGTACAACTGTTACTTTTCTTCAGAAGATTCCGTGACTTGAGTTTCTGTGCCAAATAATATTAGAGGGTTGTACATAAGTTATGCAATATCACAAATAAATTTTGTCCAGTTTAAATAACAGTATTTAAATTGCTCTTTTAAAAACTGATTTTAAAAGATAGCAAACATCGCCAATCCATCTCATGTAATCATAGATTCAAATTTCTCAAGTGATTGAATTAACTCCAGCCACCTATTTTTTTTTGTTTTCCCTCTACAGAGAGATACTAACATTGGTTTGGAAATAGACACTGGACTTCCAAGGTCCTTCCAAATTATGATTTTATGGAGACTTTAAATATCTTTTGTAATTGTCTAAGGCCAAATAATGTAGACATTTATGTGATACTGATTTGATCTCTTTTGTAGGTAAATATTATTTGCTCAATTAATATTTCAGACCTTGGATCCTACTTAATAAAAATATATTCCCAAGTATCAAGCCCCTGAATAGATTTAGTACTTATTCATTATTCAGTTATAGCTTCCACTCAAGGACTTAAAATGCGGGCAGAAATTTTTGCCCAAATCAGAAACCTGAGGAACCTTTTTCCTTTATTACTTTCATTCAATTAGTCATCAAGTCGTATTAATTCTACATCCTATGTATCTCTATCATGAATCATCTCCTCTAGCACTCTTTTAAAAAATTATTATTAAATCTATTGGGGTGACATTGGTTAATATGACCATATAGGTTTCAGGTGTGGGATTCTATGTTACAAGATCTGTATATTGCACTGTGCCCACCACCCAAAGTCAAATCTTCTCCCTTTACCATATATATTCAGTCCCCTTCACCCCACCCGCCTCTTTTAGCATTCTTAATGCTACTCCCATCAGGCCTATATTATATCTAGCTTGAATATGTCATTACCTACCATAGACTTTATATGGGTACAAAAATCAAAAATGGTTGGAACAGCATCCATTTTAAGTCGTCGAGTTTGTCCTGTTAGGTCAAAACAGGAGGCTTCAAAGTGCTTTGAACAAAGAAAAGTGTGTTTTCCTGGCACAAAATTTTTGCGCCTAACCAGGCGAACCCATTCTTTTCTTCTTTTAGGATCCAAAGGAAACCTTAGAAAAACAAAAAACAAAAAACCCCTCAAATTCCAACTATCACAGTTCTGGTTGCACCTAAATGGTTAAAACAAATTTTAAGTGGTGATGATTTAAAGTGTCTTCAGCCTAGTCGGTGTTGCTCAGTGGCTGAGTGTTGACCCACGAACTAAGAGGTCCCCGGTTTGATTCCCGGTCAGGGCACATGCCCATGTTGAGGGCTCGATCCCCAGTAGGGGATGAGCAGGAGGCAGTTGATTAATGTTTCTCTCTCACTGATGTTTCCATCTCTAAATCCCTCTCCCTAAAACCAATAAAAACATATTTTAAAGTGTCTTCAATTAACATAGAACATGTTACATTTCCAATATCCAGACATTGGCACAGAAACCAATTCATGCTAATTTTTATAAGTTGTAAAAAATTAATAAAAAACGGACTTGAGTGGTCTTATTTTTCAGGGTTTAAAAAAGAGATCTTTCTTCCTACTCCAGTCCTTAACCTGGGCAATAAAAATAAACAAGACTACAGTAATCTAGGCCCTGGCTGGGTAGTTCTCTGTTGGTTAGAGCATCGTCCCAATACACCAAGGTTGCTGGTTCCATCTCCAGTCAGGGCACAAGAATCAACCAATGAATGCATAAACAAGTGGAACAACAAATCAATATACCCCCGCCCCCCTTTTCCTCTCTCTGTAAAAAAATAAAAATAAAATGACTAAACTAGATCAAGCTTATGTAGAGCTGTATAAGCAGGAGTAACTCTACATTGCTCAGATCTGCTGCTTATATATTAGTTCATGGTCAAGATAAATCAAATTAATGCCCAGGTTGCAGGCTCAATCCCCAGTAGGGGGTGTGCAGGGAGGCAGCTGATCAATGATTCCCTCTCATCATTGATGTTTCTATCCCTCTCTTCCCCTTCCTCTCTGAAATCAATAAAAATATATTTTAAAGAAGATAAATCATCTACAGATTAAATTTTATCAAGGAAAGCCTAGATAGATTCTGGTATTCCTCTGTGTTCCTTCATTATGACACCATACTGTTTTTATTTGAAATAAAAGTAGATTATAAGTTTCTTGAGGACAGGAATCACCGTATCTTTTTACCTCTATCTTTTTTGTTTATTTTGTTAATCCTCACCCAAGGGTATTTTTTCCATTGATTTTTAAAGTGTTTTTATTGACTTTAGAGACAGGGAAAGGGAGAGTTAGAAACATCGATGAGAATCATCGATTGCTTGCCTACTGCACGCCCCCCTACTGGGAATAGAGCCCACACCTGGGCATGTGCCCTGACCAGGATTCAAATTCTGACATCCAGGTTCATGGATTGATGCTCAACCACTGAGCCACACCAACTGGCCCCATTGAGAGAGAATGGAAGGGAGGGAGGAAAGAGAATGGGGGAGAGAAAGAGAGAGAGAGAGAAACATCCATGTGAGACACATTGATTGGTTGCCTCCAGAATGCACTCTGACTGGGGCCAGGGATCAAACCTGCAACTCAGGTATGTGCCCTTGACTGGGAATCCAACCAGAGACCCTTTGGTGCTCAGGACCCCGGGGGCCTATCCTCTACTCACTAAGCAAGGCTGGCTAGGTCTTAATCTCTTTAACACGTAGTACAGTTGCCTTGAATAAGGACTTAACAAAAATTTGCTTAATTAAAATGAGACAGAATATGTAAATTAAGAATGCACTGTATTACTTCCACGTAAACAGCCTATATTTTTTAAAAAAAATGAACTCTTAAGCTACGTAATACAGTAGAAATCATAATTATTACAAAAAGTAAAATGTTGCTGACAAGCCCAGCAGGAATGTTTTTCCTTTCATATTTATTTCAAATATAAAATATACTAATGTGTACCCAGTTAAGGAAGAGAAAAATATAAGGGACTGTCAAAATTAGTGGTAACTGTGTTGACTGATTGGAAACATAACCATCAACATTCACATGTAACAACTTTGAGTTCAACTCTTCTTTAGTTTGATAACCTAATGAACTGAGTAGTGTTTAAAAAGAATCATTCACGTTAGAAGATCATGTGGCTCCCCAACTGAAGCTTCACTAGGTAACAGCTTTGGCTATTATCAGATATCCAGTTTGCTTAAATGACCAGCAGTGAGGGGCACAAAGAGATGAAAGCCCAGATTTACTGGTAAATACCTTCCAGTCTCTTGTCCCTGTCCCCTCAACTCCAAACATATCCCGACCTGAAGATATTATTAGCATTTGTTTGTCACTCTGTAGTTCACGTTTTCACAAATTTAAGTTTTTTTCTATTTAATTAGAAATCCCTGATTATTTATCTACTGTTTACCCCTCACCTTTTAATAAAATGTATTCTCATTTCAAAGATCTGTTCCAATATGTAATGGTTTGGAAATATTTCCTGTGCCCTAAGCTAAAAAAATCAAGCTTTGGTTTATAAACACTAAACTTATGAATTTCTTCTTGTTGGGGGCCTCAATAAAGATGCAGAACTTATAAACTAAGTACTATTATTGGATTATCATTTGTATAAGACTCTTCAGAAATATGAAGGCTGTCTTTCAGATATTTAACCTTTTTTCTTTAGTTTTTTAAAACGAGCTCCCTAATTATGCAATCAGTACCTCCAACTGAACCGTAACCAAATTTTATTTCCTTCTTTTAAGACTCAATTAGGAATCTCATCTTCCTAAAGAAGTTTTTCATGATCAGAAGATGAGGTTAGATGTTTCTATATGATAAAGAATTAACACCACTGTATTCTAATTGCTTGCTTTTCTATCTCCACCACTGTATCATGTTTTTCCTGGTTAGAACTGTTCTTTACTACTTTATCATATTAAGTAAGCACTCAGTGAGCTTTTCTGAGTGAATCAATGAAAAATGAACTAATGGGGCTAGCTTAGCATTACTAAATAATCTTTATTTAGTTATCTGTGTTTAAATAGAATAATAATCAACAATTTTACTTACTTTTTATATATGTATTTTATTGATTTCAGAGAGGAAGGGAGAGGGAAAGATAGAAACATCAATGATGAGAGAGAATCATTGCTTCCTGAACACCTCACACTGGGGTTGAGCCTGCGACCTGGGCATGTGCCCTGACTGGGAATCGAATTGTGACCTCCTGTTTCATAGGTCGACACTCAACCACTGAGTCATGCTGGCTGGGCTAATCAACAATTTTATATTTAATTTTTCCATAATCATATTTTGCATGTGTTGTTTGGATTTTTCTTAGTATGTTCAAAGGGGAGTAGAGATAGCCCATAGTTGAATTTATAAGAAATTGTCCTCTAAGTATTTAAAAAATAACAGGGTGGCAACAGATGGATATATGTTTGTCTACACCATAATAAAAGTAGGCTTTCCGAAACATTAGATGTTTGGAAAAAAATCACTCAGTATTTTAAGCAATGCTATTTGGCTTGGGTCTTTAATAAATGGCTGAATGCTCATATATTCCAAGCACTGCCCTAGGAACTGTCCCAAGTGGTAAATAAAACTGACCTACTTTTACGGTATCTACCTTCTACTAAGGGCACACTGTAATGGGGAGGACAGAGAATTGAACAACTTGATGCAACAGAAAAGAATGGCCGAGAACTGTTGTCTCTCAAGTCAAATCAGGTTGTCAATCCTGGTTACTTTACATAACAGCTAGGTAACTTTAGGCAAGTTATGCAACCTTTTTAGTCTTTAGTTTTTATCACCTATAAGGTACCATTTTAATGGTATCTAGTGTGGTTTTAGGGGTTAAATGAGACAGTTTATGGTAAATACTAGATAAATGTTATTTGTTACTATAAAAGTAATTACAAATGTCATGGGTGTTCTAAAAAAGGTTAAGTACAAGGTTGAATGGAACCATAAAGCAGGAAGAGATAATCTAGTCAAGAGGCTTTAGGATAGTAGGAATTAGCTAGAGGAATTAGGGTGGGAACAGTGAAGAGTAATGACATGAAATGATGCAAGAGAACTTTCTAAGTTAAAGAGTAATTTTGAACTTTATCCAAAATGGCATTGGCAAGCCATTATAAGTCACGATTTAGAGCTGATTTTTAAAAACATGTTTTTACTGATTTCAGAAGGAGAGGGAGAGGGAGAACATCAGTGAGAGAGAACCACCAATTGGCTACCTCCTGCATGTCCCCTACTGGGAACGGAGGCACGTGCTCTCATCAGGAATTGAACTGGCGACCTCCCAGTGCATGGGATGATGCTCAACCGACTGAGCCACACCAGCTGGGGGCATTATCTTATTCTTAAAACTATATATGTCTGTTATATCTATATGGTATAAAGGCTATATAGAATAGTGTGGTACTGCACATTCCTTCCCAACTTTATGATTAGTGATGTCAGGTTGGTAGTTTGAAACCAGATAATGTAGGGAGTATTTATATTACAGAATTAGGGCAAATACTATGAATCAGGGCTTTCCCCTTCCTTGGAGATTCTGTTGTTAAACATTTAGCAACACATCACTGATTACAGAAGTTAGGAGTACATGAATGGAAGCAGTGAACCAGTTAAGAGGCTGTTGTAATCGAGTCAAAAGGGAATGGTAGGAAGTTAAGGAAGGATGACCTTCCGATTTCTGGGTAGATGATGTTTTCATTTACTGAGAAAAGGCATGTGGGAATAGGAGTAGGTCTGAAGGAAGGGCAAATTCTTTAGTATAGTTTTGATAAAAATCTGAGGAACTGGAGAGGCCAGGAGAATACTGAGACACTTGGCCTATAGGTCCAGAATTCAATGAGATTTGGACTGGAGATAATTTGAGAAGCATCAACATGTAAATGTTAACTGAGACCACAGCAACAGTTGAAATTTTTTTACAAAGAGAGGGGCTGGTAGGAGAGATAGACTACAGAAGTGAAAACCACAAAATTAGTGTTATATAATTCAAAAGTAGAGAGTATTTCAAGGAGGAAATGATCACATTCCAAGAAAAAGAAATACAGGAGTGACAACTCATGTTAGCAAGAGCAGCTTCAGAAAATTATTCGTGAGACCTAGTCCAGAGTGGGCTAAGAGATAAGAAAAATGAAGATAGTTAAGTTCAGGCAACATAAGTTGTATATGGGAATAAAGAAGTCTACCAATGTCTGAGGAGAGGAGTTAGTTCATGTTGTTTGTTTATAAAATAGAAATGTATTTTTACTTTATTTTTACTTTTGTTATTTTATGACCTACATTTTTGGGTTACACATGAAAATGTTAATTTCATAAGCAAATAGTCAAACATGGAAAGGAAGTATGCATGCTACTATATCACTGTGTCTCTCTTAAACATTCAATATTATTGGTCCTCCTAGACTCTTCCCTATCTCTCATCTTCCAAAACAAATACAATAGTTTCTCCTCAAATATTTCTCAAATCTGTCCACTTCTTTCCATCCTTACTGTCAGTACTACTCTAGTCTAGGCCCTCTGGGTGGACTCACCCTTATTTTAAGGCAGGCTCCTGTTTTTTCTCTCTCAACTCTCACCTCTCCTATTCTAGTGCTGGCTGTGCCAGCAAACAAGTACACTGCGTAGTTCAGTTGACACTGTCGTGTAGATTTCCTTGTGAAAGAAACAGTGGGTAAGTGAACACTCTTTAAACAAGCTTCTTTCTCACTGAATTTCTCTCTCGATGATGCTCAGCCGGCACTTTCAATAACGCTATTCTCCGTACTTCAGCCAGAGGCCTTTTTAATACGCACATTTAACCATGCCACTCTTTTACAACGTTCCCTGGCTTCTCAAGTACTAATGGGTAAAACAGAAAATCCTGAAAGGGGCACACCAGACTATGTCACCATTTTGTCTCATTTGAAATTTCACATCCTTTGAGAAGTGTTACTTTGACTTTACAAGGCTAACTTAGTTCTCCCTGAAGGTCTTTTCTGTGGCACCTAACTGCAATTATATTTGTCTTTGTTTTTTATTATACTCTAAACTTCAAGAATGTAAGAATTTTCTGGATCTCTCGCATGATGTCAGGCAAATAAGAACTTGGTACACATTTGATAGATGAACAAAACAATAATTTGATGAAGTAGTTGAAAACAGAAACATCACAAAGATTTTTTTTAAAGTGGCAACTTTTAATAAGGGGGTACATTTAGTCATCATGAGGTAGGGAAAAGGTCAAGAATATAATTTTCTACATCCTATGAATGTATTAAGTTGTGAGGTATATAAAATCAGAACTGTTTACACTTAACTTTTTTAATGCTTCTTTTCTTCAGTCACATGGCAGGCACTTGCAGAGAAGGTAAACATTTATTTACTGTATTTCATGTAGTGTTCAAAGTGCTTTCAAGAGTTCTGATTTGAGAGAACTAAAGAATTTTCATTGGCCCTATCTGGTTTGGCTCAGTGGATAGAGCGTCAGCCTGTGGACTGAAGGGTCCTGGGTTCGATTCCGGTTAAGGGCACAGGCTTGATCCACAGTAGGGGGTGTGCAGGAGGCAGCCGATCAATGTTCTCTCTCATCGTTGATGTTTCTCTTTCTCTCTCTCTCTGAAATCAATAAAAATACATTAAAAAAAAAAGAATTTTCATTGCTCTTCCAGCAAAGAAGGAAGAACACCTAGGTTCTTTTTATTACTGCTAGTAAGAATAGAAAGCATATCTTTTGCACTTTCATTAATATAGCTTAATTCCATGATTATCATCAATGATGACTCAACTCCTCTGCAGAGTTACTGTATGGGACTATCAGAAAAAATCTAAATGCTCATGTCAATTCAGCTAGTAAGACTTTCCTGATTTTAATGGGAACACAGTAGGCTTTAAGGCAGTGGTTCTCAACCTTCCTAATGCCGCAACCCTTTAATACAGTTCCTCATGTTGTGGTGACCCCCAACCATAAAATTATTTTCGTTGCTACTTCATTGCTGTAATTTTGCTACTGTTATGAATCGTAAATATCTGATATGCAGGATGCATTTTCATTGTTACAAATTGAACATAATTAAAACATAGTGATTAATCACAAAAACAATGTAATTATATATGTGTTTTCTGATGGTCTTAGGCGACCCTGTGAAAGGGTCGTTCGACCCCCAAAGGGGTCGCGACCCACAGGTTGAGAACCTCTGCTTTAAGGTGATTGCCGGCTTGAACAGGAAGATTTCTTACAGAGTCATTAATGTCAAGTCCAGTCTAATACACAGGAGTAAAAGAGTAGAAAATGAAGGTATCCGGCTGTCACTTTTATAAGGAGTAATCACCATACAGAACTTGGATTTCTTTTATAAAGCAAGTACATCTTCCCCAAGGGGAGAAATACTGGGCAGATCTGAGCAACACACAAAGGGAAAACACAATGCTTCCCTGCTACCCCCTGGACTAGACAGTGAAGGGATCAGAATTCGCAGAATCCTCGTGTTCCTTCGACACAAGCAATATTCAATCTAACGGCTCTCACCCCCGCTCCCCGCCCAGGTTACCTGTGGAAGCTGATGTTAATGTGCTTGTTGTAGGTAGTGGCACAGCCCGCCGCGGCGCAATTGGTCGGCATGTCCCTTCCCCCCTCATTCGGCGCCGTCGTGAGCCTGTCCTGAGGCGCTGACGGCTACGCGGGGCCAGCGAGGCAGGGGACAGGCCCGCCGAGCAGAATCGCGGGGCGGGATGGGCAGCAGGGGTGCGGATGTGTGTGCGTCGGGGGTAGGGAGCCACCTTCCCTCTTTATGAATATGGCCGACTTGAGCCCGCAGAGCCGTCAGTCCCGCAGCGCCAGTCGCCTTCCTTTGCCTTCACCAACATGGCGGACACAACCCGGTCCCCTCCCTGGCCCCCAAAGGGGAGAGGGACTACTGCGTCTCTTTAGGACCTGTCCTTGGAGAAGAAAAAAAAAGGGGGGGGGGTACCATCCACCTCCCCACCCCCTACTTCTATGATACACTCTCGAGGCCGAGATTAAGAACAAACCCGCCCATTCCAACACGCACCCAGATATCCCAATCCAGTCCGAGGTGGGTGTGAGTTGTAGACTGGAAGGACAGCCCCTAAAACAGGAAAGGAAAAAAACTACAAGTCCCACTGAGAATAGCGTGGTCTTCGTCGTTATCGCGGGAACTGAGAGCCTGGTTTCCGGCCTTCCGTCGGAAGTGACGTCGTGGGCCACTTTCCAAGCCCCTTTCTCGCGAGGCGGAAGAGCTCCATTCGCGGAGGAGCAAGGGGGCGCTAGGGTAGGGAACTGTTGTGACGGTCCGGCGAGAGAGAGAGCTGGGGTGCCGGGAAGTTGGGGAGCACAGCCCGCTAGGTGTCCGAGTAGGGTAAGGCCGCACCGACCGGGTCCGTTAGGAAAGAAGGGGCCGAGGAGGAAGGTAATCGTCGGGCGGTTCCCCGGACGGAGGACTCCGGTTGTGTGGAAGGCGCTGCTCCCGGGATGGCGACCGCAGATCCTCCGGCCGCAGCGTCCAGTGGCCTGTCGCCCAAGGAAGAAGGGGAGCTAGAAGATGGGGAGATCAGCGACGACGATAACAGCCAGGTACGGAGCCGGAGCAGCAGCAGTAGCAGTGGCTGCGGGCTGTTGCCGTATCCGCGGCGGAGGCCTCCTCACCCGGCCCGGGGCGGTGGATCCGGCGGAGGCGGTGGCTCCTCGTCGTCATCGTCCTCTTCGCAGCAGCAGCTGCAGCTGAGGAATTTCTCACGCTCGCGGCACGCATCGGAGCGGGGCCACCTCCGGGGACACAGCAGCTACCGACCCAAAGAGCCGTTCCGCTCTCACCAGCCCTCCGTGCGGATGCCTTCGAGCTCGCTGTCCGAGAGCAGCCCTCGGCCGTCCTTCTGGGAACGGAGCCACATCGCTTTGGACCGTTTCCGCTTTCGAGGCCGGCCTTATCGGGGTGGGAGTCGCTGGAGTCGGGGTCGTGGCGGGGGTGACCGAGGAGGCAAGCCGGGGGGCAGACCCCCTCTGGGTGGAGGACCGGGGTCCGGATTCAACGGCAGCCAGAGCTGGCGGGAGCCCTCTCCACCTCGCAAGAGTTGTATCCTTAACGTGGCGCTCGGCCCTGGGTGTGTCCCTAGAGTTTCCCTTTAGCGTCCTTCCTAGGTCTGCGGGATGAGTAACTTCTCTGCGCCGCCGGAGCCGCTCGTTTGTTACTTACGGTAAGTTGTTCGCTGGCAATCCCCGTGTGTCACGCTGTAGTGTTTCTCAGGATTGCTTTATTGGGTGTATTGCCTTTTAACAGGACCGAGTCATTGTTTGGGGCCAAGCTAGTGGAATCTAACAGTCTAAGGTCAGGTTTGTAACCGGACCTCAGAAGCCCACGTTTTATTAGCATTTGTCTTTGCTGGTACAGAAACTTTAATACGTGAGGTTAACTTGGACTGTTAGAGGGAGAGGAAAATTATATATAGACAAACGATTTGGGGAATAGTGGTTTTTGTTTGTTTGTTTGTTTGTTTTTTGCGGTTAAACAAAACTTTTATTGAGGGAGAAGAGTACCAAGAGGCTGTCTTCCAGAGGTTCTTGGACCTCAGACCTCAGGACGTATTACACTTTGATAGTGTACATTGTGAAGTTTCTTTCTGCATCATCTTGTCGTTTTTGTTTGTGATTTTGTTTTTACCGTTCTTGATTTATTCCTATATATTGGTGTCTTTTAAAGTGGGGGAAAAAGGACCATATATTATCTTCACCAACTCTGTTAAGTCAGAGGATTTAAATTCATGTATCTTCTTGGAAAACTTTACCTCCTTAACTGCTCTATTTCTTACGTTTACTTTGTGGACATTTTATAATTCCTAGTGCTGACAGATTGGGTCAGAAAGAGAAGGATAAACTTAACAGCATTTTAATTTTTAACATGGGAAGCCATAGGGATGTGTGGGAGGATGGAGATGTGGAGAGGCTGAGAAGCAAAATACCTGATTTTTGTTTCCTCTAACCTTATTCTTCGTTATTTTTAACATTCCTGAGTCTACGCAGTATTTATACTGAGTAATCAGTCACCTGAAGTTTTGCTGTTTTTTGATATGGGTTGGTAGAACTATGTCTTGCTTATTCCATGATAACTACATAAAAGTAGTTTACTTGGCACCTTTATTATTGGTTGCAATTTCCATGGTATAATGATTTTGTTAGTGAAGTTATATATGAAACTTACATATAATGACATTTGTTTGGAAAGCACTCAACATTTTTATATTAGAGCCATATGGTCTTTTTTAGATGTCAAGATACAAAGGGGACAAGAAATGTAGGTTAGGTAAGGAGCAGCAGCTTCTGGTGCTAATGCCTTGTAAAAACTTACATTGGCAACCAAAATTTGAGTTAGGAACATTCCAGGATTATTTCAGAGAAAATCATGTAGGTATTTAACTTTTAAAGTGACAGGATGTTTTTCAGTAAAGTTAAAATCCCTGCCTGAGATATTTATTAACCAAGGATTTGTTCATTGTCAATTCTGAATCTAAAAACAGAAAGGTATTTAAGCACATATATATATATATTTTTAAGAATAGAAAAAATGACACTTGTAATTTGTTTTGGAGAGATAGAGTTAAACAATTAGTTTAATATAAAAAGTTCAAATTGAGGTACATAAAAAGGATTATGGGAACTCAAAGTTTATTCTTAAATTGTTCTGTAGAAAAGGGGGTGATGAGTGTGTTTCCCTACCTTTTTCCTTTGCCTTCCTTCTGTCCACTCATTTAATATCAACTTGGCCTCTGCCATATACCTTTATTAAGTTAATGTTTTTATTAATAAACAGGCATATGAAGTTGTGGAAAAAAGTAACCAGTCTGATTTCTCTATTAACTTATTAGAAATGAGCAGTCTTGATGTTTTTTCTTTTCACAGATGCTGCATTTAAGAAAAGGATGCTTGTTTTGATCCTCTGCTAATTGCTTTTCTTGTGAAGTATCATTAATACATCCTAGAGGTGGTATACTTTTAAGAATTTGTGAAGAAAAACAGTTGCCAGCCACTTTTGTATAACATGAGCAAACAAAAATTGTAATGTGAAATTTTATTTATTCAAATTTCTTTTTAAAAAAATTGTCTTTATTGTTGAAAGTATTAGATGTCCCCTTTTCCCCCCAGTCATCCTCCCTTAACCTCTCCCCCAGGCCCCCCATTCAGATGTCTTTAAGACCAAGATTGTACTGAGTTTAATTCATATTTCCATTGTTGATTATAATAATGACATTTTTATTTTACAAGTTTTGCATTCAGAAAGAATAAGTGTTTTTCTGTGGCTCATTTCCATAATCCAGAAGTGAAGCAGCATGAGTACAGGTGGTTGGTGGTGTTTTTTTTTTTAAACTTCTTTCTTTGTAATGATGAAGGTATGCTAGATGTAGCTTAAAAGAAGTAGAATAAACCAAATCCTACTGCAGTACTTAACTGTCTTTTAAAAAATATTTTAAAATTGATTTTCGAGAGGGAGGGGGAGGAGGGAAAGCGAGAGAAACATCATGTGGAAGAAACATTCAGCTGCTTCCTGTACGCCCCCCACTGGGGATGGGGCTGGAAACCCAGGCATGTGCTCTGACTGGGAATGGAGCCCTGCACCTCTTGGTGCATGGGATGATTGATGCCCAGTCAACTGAGCCACGCCAGCTAGGGCCAGTACTTATTTTCATTCTTTATTGATTTGAGAGATGGGGAGAGGGAGAGAGGAACATCGATGTAACTGGGAATTGAACTTGCCACCTTCCAGACTACGGCATGATGCTCCAACCAACTGAGCAACACCTGCCAGGGCATTCTCATTCATTTTTAATTTTTTTTTAGTGATAGACACTTAGTCTTAGCATATGTCTCCTTTGGTTGACTACTGTTTTAAACCTTGAAATCTGATGAGAGCTAAAATATTAGGCCAGTGTCTCTCATCAGTAGACAGTCATTCTATTTTCACCTGTAGTTGTAAAGGTTGACAGGTAGTTTGTTTTTAAAATCAGGTATCAGCTAGAAATTGCATCCTGGCCAGCTTAAAATTAAATCCTTTAAGTGTTTGCTTTTAGCTGTTCTACATAGACAGAAGTAGATTTCAGCCCTGCTGGGTAGTTCAGGTGGTTAGAGCGTTGTCACCAACGCCAAGGTTATGGGTTAGATCCCCAGTTAGTGCACGTAAAAGAAGCAACCAATGAATGCCTACATAAGTGGAACAACAAATTAATGTTTCTCTCTCCCCACCCCCTTCCATTCTCTAAAATCAATAAAAATAAAAATTTAAAATAAGATTTCATTGAGCCTTGAGGATTAGTCAGTTAAAATCATAACTCACTTTTCCTCATTTTTTCAGTCCTTTAGTTATTTTATTTCTTATTGAGTATATTGAATCTTCCTTCTGTAAAGGTTTCCAATGTTATGTCATTATTATTTTTTTAATTACTGGGGCTGTGCCTTTAGATAGCTCCATTGAAAAGTGAGATGTAAATGCAGTTAATTACAGCATTTGTGTACAAAGAATACATAATGGTAGGGTAGCAAATAATTTTCTGGCTTTAAATAGGTGACATTTGAATTGGGGTCAATTTGAAGAACAGAAAAACCTAGACACAAAGTCATGCATAAATTGTGATGAATAGGGGAAAGGTGGATTGGAAAAGGAAGTACAGGTCAAATGAAGGCATTATATGCCATTATAAGGATTTTGGAGTCTGCTTTTGGTGAGACTAGTGCAGTGGTTCTCAACTGGTCTAGCTGCACAGCCGTGGGCAAACTACGGCCCGCGGGCTGGATCCGGCCCGTTTGAAATGAATAAAACTAAAAAAAAAAGACCGTACCCTTTTATGTAATGATGTTTACTTTGAATTTATATTAGTTCATACAAACACTCCATCCATGCTTTTGTTCTAGCCCTCCGGTCCAGTTTAAGAACCCATTGTGGCCCTCGAGTCAAAAAGTTTGCCCACCCCTGGCTCTAGCTGCAGTATCGGGGATGACTTGTGGAAGAACTCCAAATTTTTGTTCTAGGCCAAGCTTCTCATAGTATGTAAAACTATGGGAATGTATTAGAATGCTCAAAATAAAAAGAGAGGCTATATGTTACCATGGAGAGCACCATTACTGGAGTTAAGAAAACTTAAAGGGAAAAAAAATGTAGGGAAA